AGGATGGACGCCTTCGTCCTCAACTTTAGCAAGTTCAACCACAGTTGAACCGAAACTCAGGCCAAACGCCTTCATCCGTGAAAGCAAAGCCCGACCTCCAACAAATCGAGGCGCAGGGTAGGCACCCTCGCCATTCAAGTAAGTTCTCCCAACTCGAATTAAGACTCGGGCCGCGTAAAGTTCGGCCCCGGTCAAACTACGAGGCCGCATTTTTTACTGTCACGACCGGTAGTTCGATCGCGTCCGAACTGGGACTAAGGCTAAACGCCGCTATTGCCCAAATAACGGCCAAGACTCGCCCGCACCGAGTTGAAAAAGTAAGGCCATCAATTATATCATGGCTAAGGCCATCGTCGCCAACAGTCGACCTAGATTCGACTAAGGTGAATAAACGACTCGACGATAGTCGAAGTCACCTACATGGCTAAGGCCGTCAATTATATTATGGCTAAGGCCATCGTCGCCAACAGTCGACCTAGATTCGACTAAGGTGAATAAACGACTCGACGACAGTCGAAGTCGCCTACATGGCTAAGGCCGTCAATTATATCATGGCTAAGGCCATCGTCGCCAACAGTCGACCTAGATTCGACTAAGGTGAATAAACGACTCGACGACAGTCGAAGTCACCTACATGGCTAAGGCCGTCAATTATATTATGGCTAAGGCCATCGTCGCCAACAGTCGACCTAGATTCGACTAAGGTGAATAAATGACTCGACGACAGTCGAAGTCGCCTACATGGCTAAGGCCGTCAATTATATCATGGCTAAGGCCATCGTCGCCAACAGTCGACCTAGATTCGACTACGGCGGATAAACGACCCGCCGACGGTCGAAGTTGCCTTTGTGGCTAAGGCCGTCGAGTCTATCACGACTAAAGTCGTCTGTTTGAATTCGACTAGGGCTGCCAACACCAACGTTCAACAAAAAGCACAACAAAAACTCTAAAGAACGAAAGAAAAACAGCGACACAAAACAAGCACAAGACAGGCAATAGACAAGAAAACTTATATATTTACAAAGTCAAATTGCAGGTCATCCCCGCTTACACCGGGCCAAGGCCGATCAATACAAGAAATAAAAAGAAAAACTACAAGAAACACCTAAACGCCAAACGGCGAACAAGACGAGAAAAAATGCATCATCATCTTTTTTACTCGGTGTCGTCTGCACCACCGTCTGCACCAGCGTCAGCCTTGGGCGTCGCCACATCAAAACCACAGTCAGCACGGGCCTCACGAGCCTTCTAACGCGCCCCCTCGAAAGTAGCTTTGGTCACGACGCCAGCCTCCCACAAGCTCTTATATATATCACGTTGGGCCTCGGCAAAGACCCAAAGTTCTCGAGCCTGGCTGGAAGAAGCGGCTTAATCCCGTAGCTGCTGATTCTCTTCTTCCAAGGCCGTGATTCGGTCCGCCATGACCTGGGCGTCCTGCTCGAAGACACCAATCTGCTCCTCGAGACTTGCTTCTCTAAGGGTCGCGGCATCCCTTTCCAACATCCGCTGGGATTCATGCACGCGGATAGCTTCCCTCAACACCTCGGCCCTCGACGAGGCGTCCCTCACTTGAAGCTTCAACAACGCGACTTCATCCTCCAGCGCGGTCACCTTCCCGCTCCATGCCGCAGTGACTTCCGCCGCCTTCGCCTGGCCCCGGAGCTCGCCCTCAGCTACAACCCTCTTTACCGCCTCGAGCTCCTCATCCTTTCGGCGAAGCTGCTCATCCCGCCTCGCCAGCTCTTCGACCAAGGCCCGACTACGAGGATCATCCCTCAAGCGCTCTTGCAATTCTCGACACTGATCTCGGTAGCGGCGATACTTCTCCAGCGCCCGCAAAAATATCCCCGAGCGGACTTTGGCTCGACGGATGCTCTCCACCTCCAACAGATAAGACTGCAAAGCAAAGACAACGATCAAGATAAAAGAACAAACTTGAGGCAAAGAAGAAACGATCCAATGCAATGGTACGTACCCTCAGGCCCATCACGGCTACTTCATTCATCAGCCCGACATCCGTAATGCCCCTCAGCGATGCATTCTCGGCCTCCGAGCATAGCGGCTCGAACTGCGGTACCAAGTTTTCCCCTTGGAGCAATAGGTTCAATTCCGTGGGAACTTCGATAAGGCGAGATCGCCCCTCTGTGCGCACCGCTGAGTTGGTAGAGCCTTCCTGAAACATACGGACGTCGTCGGGATCCAAGTCGGATTCGGACTCATCCTCACCCACTTTAGCAGCCGCTGAGGAACTGCCTCCCGTCTCAACGACTGGAACCACCAATTGAGCCGCCGAAGCGACGGTATCATCACGGCCTAAGCCAACCGGGGCAACCCCCATTGTTTGTTCGCCCTCAGGGGCAGGCGCCGCAGCAGCACTCATCTCCACGTCTGCCGGTGGAGAATCCAAATTAATCACCAAAGGAGGAGCCGGCGCGAATGCGACCCTACGCCTCATCGACGGCCTCTCCTCCTCCCCCTCTAACGATGATCCCGCTCTAGGGCGCACAACTCCCGAAGGCTCCTCATCCCGAAGCCGGGTCCGTGACGGAGAAGAAACTGCTGAAGATTCAACTGAGGCCGCCCTCGGTATTGAGCGCGACACCGACGCTGCAGTAAGCCGAGCGACTGCGCCAGGCCGACGGAAGGCCAACTGAGGGGCCTTGACGCGGCGTGCCCTCCCTAATCACGAAAAACAAGGTTAGTAAATAAAGCTGAAACAAAGCAGAACAGAAGGAAAGATCGATTTTTTACCTGCTACGGGCCTACGGCCATGCCTCTCCCAGAAAGACGCCCACGTACGTATCCCCCTCGTATGGGGGAGCACGGCATCGACCCATTCACGTATCCAAGACAATGGGGGCGGCGGCGACCTGTCGGCTACAAAAAAAGGGCGAGAGTTAACGCTCATAAGCGCAAATCATAAAGGAGAAAAGAAAAGAGGATTCAACCGATAAAAAAAAAACTTACGTGCATGGTTCCAAGCCTCTGGGACCCAGTAGCATCCACCACCAGGTGCTTGGTCCTGATATAAGAGAAATGCTCGAAAGGGCGGGGCTCGACCTCGTCATCTAATCTCATGACTAGGCCCTTCGACCCACGTGGGCACGCCGGAATCATGGTACCACGGACTCTCTGAGGAGCGTAGAGACTTATTAATGAAGTAGTAGCTATATATATAGAGCAAAATTACAACAATAAATCTTCTGGAAGATACAGATACATACAACCTAACAAACTCCTAAAGAAAAGGCTAACGAAAAGATACAGATAAGGGCTATGTTAATGGATAAGATTGAATCAGTTAAGATTCCTTTACACTATTGTGTTATTGTATGCTTGCTACCTCCGCAAAGAAGTCATGAATAGTAGTTTCCTTGCCACGTACTTGGAGTTACTCTTTGAATAATTTTAGATTTGGATAACATCGTACCATGTTTGGAGATCGTGCCCAGCTCACTCTTACTTTTTATTTGATAATGATATTTTAATACTAGTGCATAATAGCCATAAGCGGAATCTTAAGAAATAAAAAAAAAAAAATTGGATAGAAGTAAGAAGCTCATTGTAATAATGTTTTAATTCCAACCATTCAAATTCGATAGCACTTGAATGGTTTCGCGACGTTCTTGAAACTAAGAACATTCATGCACTTCTTGTAATAGGCATTAGTGGACATGATTGTTGGGTTTTGAGTAACGTTGTGAATTGGGAAATAGAGGGAAAAGTAAAGGAGGAAAATAAAATTTTAATTGGTTCATCTTACAAAGGAATTTCTTCTCTCATTGGATAAGAAGAGAAAAATTGGTATGCTTATATACAGAAGCACTTCTTCTAGCTCTTAATGAGTTAAAAAGAGAGCAAGTCTTGCAACGTCGTTCAGCTTTCGATTTGGCCAAGTAGAGGCCCATTTACTTATGATTTCTCATATGAATCTTTTGTCTCCGGCTATTGGGTATCCCACTTTCGTGCTAACGCAGGATATGCTTATTGAGCTCTATGTATTAATGAGCGGAAATCATTGAGGTATCTTGGATCAAATTTATTTTCCTTTTGCACTATTTATTTATTTTTTCCTGATTATATTTTGTGCTAAATTTTATATTAAAATTAAATTCGCGATACCAACGGTCAAATTCACGACCAAACAGTACACTTAACAGAAATTTAAATAATCTATACCGAATATACACCTTGTCAAACGAACAAGCATCTTTGCACATGTTAGAACTCAATCTCGTTCACTATAAATTAAGAAGCTTGGCCTCATTTTTCACCACAAAAAATCTGCAAACTTTTCACTCTCTTCTCTGCATTTCTGCATAATTTTTAAAGCAAATCACTACCAGAAAAATGCTACTCCCTCTGTTCCAGTTTATGTGAACCTATTTTCTTTTTGGTCCGTCCAAAAAAGAATGACCCCTTTCTAAATTTGGTAATAATTAAGCTTAAACTTACAATTCTACCCTTAATGAGAAATTTTTATAACCACACAAATACTCTAGGCCCCTTTTTAACTTGTTTAGGACCACAAATTCCAAAAGTCTTTATTTTATCTTAAACTCCGTGCCCAGTCAAACAAGTTCACATAAATTGGAACGGAGGGAGTATAATTTTCCGACTACACTAGTCGTAAAATTATAATTAATTTTTTTAATTTGTAGGCGACTGCCATTTCGACTGTAATAGTCATAGCGCAAAATACCGCGAATTAATTTTTCCGACCACTGTGTGATTTGATCCGACATTTGAGTTCGCCGGCGGTGTGTGATTTGAATTATCGCTATCACATGATAGTTGTTCGTTCTATCTTGGGAGGAATTAATCTATAAAGCCTTGGGCAAGGAATTAAATTACTTAAGGACACACAAGCAAATTGTGGACTCGAATATGTTTCTGTTTTTGACTAACAATATTTACTGTTTTATTTTTAGTTTGTTGTTATTTTGCTTTACTGATTTTTGAACACATAATAAGAACAATGATTTGCTTACAAATTATGGTAAATGTAATGACTCATTTGTAATAGTCAAACTCAACTTCTGGAAAGAATGTTACAATAAGTATATAATTTGATCCCATATTTCTGCAAAATAGCAGATGTCATCTACCGACTATAACACTAATCGTGACATCGTTTGAGGAAAAATCCTGTTTCTCATTCCATATATCTGCATCTTCATATTTTCTCATTGAAGTATAAGTAGGTTGCCTAGGCAAGGGCAACCTTATATTGTCTGTCTCTAACATTAAAACAACAGAAGACATATCCGGTCTGTTAACTGCCATGTCTTGCACACAAAGTAGCGCTAAGTGTATGCATCTCAATACTTCTTCATATTGACACTCGTCCCAAATAGAACGATCCACTAGATCCATCAGTCTACCTTCGTCCCACTTTTCCCATGCCTGAAACATTTCCATACGAAAAAAGGAAAAAAAGTAAGAAAGCGAAAACCATCATAGTTTATAACTGTAGTATTTTTACAAGACATAAAGCCTTTAGCTTCACAATGAATGTTGAAAAGTAGTTCATGAGAAAATTGAATAGACGTACATAACCAATAATGCTCGAGTGCTGATCAGAACGAAAGCTTGTGTTCCTCCAGCCACAGATGATCTCTAGCAATAGTACGCCAAAGCTGTAAACATCTGATTTTCCAGAGAACAACCCTTCCATTGCATACTCGGGAGCCATATATCCGCTGGTTTAAGTAAAAATACATATGAGATGAAGTTAGCTCTTTGATCAAGTTAATGGATAATTTGTACTGTCAAAGGTAAAACACCAATTGATACTCACTATGTGCCGACTACCCTGTTTGTATTTGCTTCATTCTCATTTCCTACAAATATCCTAGCCATACCAAAATCTGAAATTTTCGGGTTCATCTCTTCATCCAGCAAAATGTTACTAGCCTTTAAATCCCTATGGATTATTCTGAGTCGCGAATCTCTATGGAGATATAGTAGTCCCCGTGCAATCCCTTCAATTATGTTGAAGCGCGTCCTCCAATTTAATTGGGCTTGCTTAGCAGGATCTGCCAAAATAATTGTAAGCGATAAATATTCATCCAAGGGAAAACTATATAACAAAATTTAACATTCCAGAACTAACCAAATAGAAATGAATCTAAACTTCTGTTAGGCATGTACTCATATAGTAGAATCTTTTCTTCTCCCTCAATACAGCAGCCCAAAAGTCTAACAAGATTTCTATGTTGTAATTTGGCAATTAGCATTATCTCATTCTTGAACTCCTCTACACCTTGTCCTGACTTTCTTGAAAGCCTCTTCACTGCAATTTCTTCGCCACTTTGTAGCTTTCCCTAAGATAAAATAATTAGCATCGACGTTAATCTAGGACAATGAGGCCATATTTCCCTAGAAAAAAATACACTTATCAAAATAAGATAGAAATCAACCTTGTAGACGGGGCCAAATCCCCCTTGTCCGAGCTTGTTTTCATTAGAAAAGTTGCGCGTAGCTGCTGCTATACTGCTGAAACTGAAGAATTTTAGTTCTGAACCACTTCCTTGATGCCCTTCAACACTTAGGTCTCCCGGTCCTGATAAGTCCATTGGGAGTTCTCCGCTCCTAATTGGATCACGTATGGGCATTTCATTGATCCTGATAGACCCTTAAAATGGGGAATTGAGGATATAAATACACTATGTTATGTGAAATAAATGTTACAAGCCAAGTTGAAAACACCAGCTATTTTGAAATTTTACCTCGTCTTTTGGCTTTGTACTTGCATAGTAGACAAATCGCCATACAAATAACAAAAGCTACAGCTACCAGAATGGATATTAGCACAATTTTGATTGTCCTGCTCTTTTTACCTGTTTAAAGAAAGTTTGAAATGGGAACATCCAAAAATCAGTAAGGATTGTATAAATACCAAATGAATTAGTAAACATTTTACTAATTCAGCAGATTGTAATGCTTACCAAATTCAGAATGAGCGAGGCGAACATATAGAGTGTTCCCGCCTTCGTTGAACTGCTGTAGATCAACTAAATCTCCACTCCAAATCATGCAGTAAATTCCAGTAACAAAAGCATAAGCAGTACATGAACAATTTTCCAGGCACTTGCTTTTACACTCGTCGATGTTTTCTGCAGCTGCTGTATCCGCGAAATCTGGCAACTTGATTCCCTTGATCTCAAGGAATCCATCCCCATTTCCACTATCACTCCTCAAGACACTGCTATTTCTCCCACATTCCAATCGCGTCCTCCTAACGCACCCTCCTGACCAGTTCCTCACATTCCACTGCTCCCAATCTTTTGGAACAAATCCATATAGACAAGTACATTTTAGTGAATTTGAGATATCACATTTTGCGAAATTCCCACATGAGTTATATATGTCGCAATCGCCCAATGGATGAGATTGTATCATGCTCCATTGTCTCTTATCTATATCCCACTTTTGCTGCTGCTCATATCCACTAGGACTAATATGAAACCTCACCAAATTAGAAGTGTTTGCTGCAGTGTAAGTGAAGTATAGCCTATTCCCATCATTGTAAAGCTTGAAACCATTAAAATACACAGCCTTCATATCTGGTACACCTGTGAATATGAGTCCATCCCAATATCCACTTCGCCAACGTCTATTTGATCCATCCCATATCACGATCTGTGGTGATCCTCGAGGATCAACACCCAAGGAGTACCTGTTGAAGATATAATTAAGTAATAAACATGTGCTCGCCCTAATAGTTAGAGCTTTTAAATGAGATGATTAGACAACGCAACCAGTGGCGGAGCCAGGAATCCTGATAAAAGATTCTAAGAGTATGCAAGAGTGTGAACCTACGACCTAAAGCAATTCTCGAGCCACATTTGCCATTACAGTTAAATCTTTCCTTATATCAAGAGGATTCAAAAAATATATCTATATCAATTTTTTTTTTTTTTAATTTTTACCCTATTTGCACGGACGAATGAGATTCAATTGAACTTCATTCATCAAAATTAGTTCCACCAATGAATGCAACATGGTACCAGCCAGCGGCGGATGTAGTGTTAAAGTGACGGGTTCAATTGAACCCATAACTTTCGACCCGAAGTATAATTTTAAGTGAAAATAATTGAATTTGCAAGAAATAGTAGATATGAATCCATAACTTTAAAAATGTAATGGTTTGAATGCCAAAAATCTTTAATATTGAACTCATAAAGTTTAAATACTGGATCCGCCTCTAGTACCAGAGTGGACAGAGTTCTTGACTTATAAACGAGGATGAGGCTCGCACGTGAGATAACAAGTTGAAGATATAATTAAGTAAATAAAAAGTATGTTATCTCTAACAGTTTAAACTTCTAGATGAGATCGTCACCAATGCAACATTACCTTCCGGGTGAAGGGTCATTTTCACTTGTCCACGACCTCAAAACTCCATCCATATAAACTCTCATTTCTGGTAAAAATGTATCTGTAGGATGCTGAAAACTCTGCCACAAGGCCTTATTATTATCGTTCAAAATAACAAGATTGCCAGTATCCAAAAGGGACACTGTAGAATTTGTAGTCTCAATAACAGAAACATTCGTCGACCATAGTAAGTCGCCACGACCATCTTTAACGACCAAATTCCCATTTTTCTCAATTGTAAACATACCATTTTGATCAGAAACTGGTTTATCTCTGTTTGCAACCCAAACAACTGATAAAACTTGAACATCAGCGTACCATATACCAAGAAACCTTTGTTTAGAACCATTTGGACTAAAGAATCCTAAGTTAAATTTCCCTTTTGGAGAAATTATGATATCACCATCTTTTAGAATCTCTCCTTGTCTAATTTTATTGGATGCAGAACATAGTAAAGAGAAATAACAAACAATGAGCAAAAAAAGAAACCAATGGAAATTAATGACACCATTGGCCATTAAAGAATTGGAATTTTTTTAAAACAGAGATTTGAACGAGCAATCTGAAGAAGAAGAAGAATGGGATAGAGTTGAGCATAAAGTATAATGACTAGAGAAAGAAGAAATTTTTGATGGCTATTTCTGGTTGGCTGAGTACTAATTTAATGTGATGCCGAGATAGATTGACTTGAAAAACTTTGATTTTATAGATTCTTGGCTGACCAAATTCCCTCTGCCCCCACCACTGCACTTTTGTATTTTAATTGAAAAGTTTTTTTAGGTATTAACCATTTGGTATTCAATAGGCATTGGTCCGATTAGTTCAGATTCACAGTGTCCACTAATTCATAGTCACGCTGAATATAACCTATTAAAGTGAAAATCGCTCCTTTCGTTTCAGAATTCGAAACCTCTAACTAAGGAGGGAGAGATCTCATCTACCTCATCACATCCTTTGCTAGTATTTTCTTAAATTTTTAATTTATTAACAAAGTCAATATAAATAATTTTTTTAATCATACTTCATTTGTTAATAAATTATTTAGTATCTTATTTTGTAAGTTACAATTTTATCTTACTTATGAAAATTGTTTGTAATTGTCTTTTAGGCATTTTGATAATATAATTATTAATTTTTACGTTATCAATGTAGAAGATAAGTTGTTTCTTAATTAAAACATGAGTCACATCAACAAAAAGAGGGATAGAGATGTTCTGTATTTTGACAACGTGCAAGCAGAAAAACGTATAGCCGAAATGAAACTATGTTTCACATAAATGAAAAATACAAGTCACCTACTTGCTTTTTTTCTCCTTCCGTCTTTCTACTTTAAATAAAAAGTATAGTTGCTTAAAAATAAAACTTTGTATCTATTTACTCGAAATTCTCCATAATTAATTAATACGTATTTTTGTCTTAATTTATTTAATCATGATTTATTAACACATTTTGGTGCATGTATATGTTTTCCATATAGTATCTATCACCTATTTTTATATTTTCTCAAACTATTGCCACATAGATTAATAAAATATGGACAATTATGTACATAATATGCATAGATTTGACTATCCCTTTAATTATTATATGATTTACTCCGGTTATAGAATAACAAATTCAGATAATTAGATTATGTGAAAGAGTACTATATTGATGTTGCTTGTTTTGCTAATTATTAACTGCAGAATTGTCTAACTTGATATTATAATCAGTGGAAACGCCGTTAACTTGAGTCTTAATCGTTCTTTCTTTTTCTTTTTCCTCATAATTATTCTTGCAAAATAATACTTATAATAGTACTGCTAATCATTGTCTTTTTTTTTTCCTTCTACACATTTGGCAGCAACAAACACTAGAGTTCACATTGACCAAAATATGACTTAGCTGTAATTAGGTCGCAGAAATATACTCTGAAAATGACATTTCTTGTCCTTCATTTTATTCACTCCAATTTGATTGGGAGTTGGCGCGCATGAATTTTGTAAGCACTGTTAAAATTTATAGAAGAACAGGAATAAATAATTTATAATATTTTTAGTAAAGAAATAGCCATAGTCCATTAGTTTGTGGAGTCTTTAAGTCAAAAAAGGTCTTTGTTCAATACTACTTAATTACAATTTTTAACCATAAAGACTCTATGTCAAGTGATGCCATTTTTTCTTACTTATCCGTTTCCTACTAGTATTAATACATATATTTAGTAAAATTTCTCGACGATACAATGCCGTGTGACACCGCTTCGTTGAACGTGCGTCCACCCCCTCTCAACAGGGGCGGGTCAACAATATCAGTTATGCGTTTATGTGAACCAAGTAAGTTTTGTGTCTTTCAACCAAAAAAAAAAAAGTTTTGTGTCTAAATTATATATATATATATATATATATATATATATATATATATATATATATATATATATATATATATATATATATATATATATATATAATTGGCCGAAGGTGTTATTATATATGAACTTCTATCTTACGTTATTTTGTGTTTACATTCAGCTTTTATGCTACTCTAAGTGTTCAGCGTCTTAAAGTATGATCTGATCTGTAAGCAGTTGTATTTGTACTTAAGTCTTCAAATCTCAATATATGATTTATATGTGGTTGTATTAAAATAAATATGGTATTAAGAACCAAAAGGAAGAGACTTTAACTGAAAATACACTCATGAGTTGTTTGGTTGATAGACTAGTTACGTAAGGATTATAATGCATAAATCATTAATGTGATGAATAATAATATACAAAGTGTTATACAGTAAATACTTATGTAGGAATTGTTATGTGCGGATTGTTTATGTTAAGAGGTTTTTGGGTCTTTAATTTAGTTTCAAGGTCGCAGAATGGTACATGAATATGAGAGATGAACTTATCTATAATTGCCTTAATCTTGTTATATTAAAACTTAGGGCAGCCCGGTGCACTAAGCTCCCGCTATGTGCGAACTCGGAAAAGGACCGAATCACAAAAGTTTATTTTATGCAGTTTTGCCCTGCATTTCTACGAGAGGCTGTTTCCACGGTTATGTTAAAACTTTGAAATTGTTAATTCAGGTTTAAGTGGGAAATTTTGGGAAATTTTTCGAGGCTTATGAGTTGTGAGAAACGTGTGAATATATTGGTACAGTGATTGTGATTATGGTGACAAAACAGTGAAGCAACACGTGCTGTACAATGTCAATTGCCTTCTAAGGTAAGGGCTAACTTCTTCTTCTTCTTCTTTTTTTCTTTTTTTTTTTTTAAGGGCTGATTGCGGTTTTGGGTTCCGGGCATATACATTATATGCAGCGATCTTAAAAATGAATGGTCTTGATTTTTAACCCTTGCTTGTTTCATGCGCAAATTTTTAAAATCAAAAGAGGTGTCAGATACAAGCGAGGGACAACATTTATTAAATTTAAAATTGCTTATTGGACACTGGATTAAAAATTTAATAGAGGCACCGAAATGTCATATTTGTGCCTATCACTATCAGCCCCTATACACGGTTAAAATATCATGGTATAGCCAGTTTTCACACTGGTTAATGAAAAATAGCCAGCGTTTATCAAGTCAATGAAAAATAGTCACTATTTTGCTGCAATAGGGACCGGTCCAGTATAATATACGGGAGTTCTGGTGCATTTGTGTACGAACTCCAGCATATTATGCTGGACTGGTATACTTTGCTAACTCCTGTAAAATTTGCGGGAGACTGGAGCACCAGTGCTCCAAACTCCAGTATATTATACTGGACAATTATACTTGCTGGAACTCCCGTAAAATTTGCGGGAGTTCCAGCATAGTTATCCTGGAACTCCCGTAAAATTTGCGGGCGTATTTTTCCGGATTTTGAACAGTGTTTTCGCTCAGATTTAAAGTGGCTAAATTTCGATGACTTTTGAAACTTGGCTATTTTTCAACGACCAGTGGTAAATCTGGCTATTTTTGAATTTCTCCCCTATACACGTGATTCTTGGGCCGACTCGAAATTTTCAAAGAACCTTCCTCGAAATATCAGAAATGTTACGAGAATAGGAAGAGAAATGTAAAAGTTTTATTGGGTGTCCACTTTCCACCACACTATTTTGCTATACTTTGAGTCTAAATATATCTCTGTTATTATACTACTGGTTTAAATATACTCATTTTTTGTTAATTTGTCTAAAGTGGACATTCAATCCTATGTGACACTAATATTTGATAAGGTGGATGCCACATGGCTTGCCACCTTAGCACCCCTAACTCATTTTACCCCTCCCTTCTATTTGTTTTCACCACTAAAAATTTGTTCCCCTCCACCACTATTGTCACCATCAACGCTTCCATGAAAAATATTGTATTTCAAATTTTAGTCTTTTATATAAGGAGTATATCGCTTTTGCTTTGCATCTTTCTTCTGGATTTCATATTGTTCCTATTTTTCCTATGATTTACGTGGTGATACTAATATTGTCTCCTTTTGTCCTTTTGTTAAGCCGAGGGTCTTTCAGAAACAGTCTCTCTACCCTCCCCAGACCCCATTAGTGGGGTTTTACTGGGTTGTTGTTGTTGTTATTGTTGTTGTTGTATGGTTTCGGGCATTGAGGTGGCATGCCATGTGGCATCCACCTCATTAAATGTCAGTGCCACATAGGATTGGATGTCTACATTGGACAAGCTTAACAGAAGATCGGGCATATTTAAATCAATAGTATTACGACAGAGACATATTTAGACCCAAAGTATGACGTGTTAGGACCGAAAAAATCAGGTGTCATGCGAAATCTAGCAAGCAAACCTTGAACAACGATAAATCCAACAACAAAAGAGAAATACCAAAAGAGACACAAACATATAACGTGGTTCGGTCAACTAACCTACGTCCACGGCGGAGATGAGCAATCCACTATATAAAAAAGAGTACAAAATATCGAGAGAACAACCTCACGAAGAGGCAAACACAAGTGACACACTAACACTTGTCCCGTAAAGTTCCCCCCCTAAACAAGACTCCCAAGCCCCCTATGGCTATATTGTGGATGCTACTAAATGAGAAGGAAGGATCATCAATTTATATAAGTCCAAACCTTTTCCTATGAGAAAAAGGACTAGCCAAATATTGGAGATTTACAATTTTCTTTTACAAAAAGGAAAACCCAGTTAAGGTAATTATATTGCCCTTTTCCTTCAAGAGATAAGAAAAACAAATATGGTAAGAAAATTATGGCAAACACCTAACAATTCTCCCCCTTGGCCTGAATTTTCTGATAAAATAAACTTGATCCACCTTCTTCACATAGCCTTCAACAGGTCGCATCTCCAGATCTCCGCCACAAAGTTTGTCTCAACGCGCGTAGCACACCGGTCAAATTTCTCAGACAAAAATTACGATTATCGTCAAATATGTCATGGCTAGAACTGAACCCGCCATGTCACGACCCCAATCCCGGTCGTGATGGCACCCAACACTAATGCTAGGCAAGCCCGACCAATTAAATACTCTCAACCCAAATTCGCAATCCGTTAACAAATAAAACGATTAAAATAGCAAATATCAAGGTTCCAATCCGAAACTAAATAAAATAGTACGAAAAATAATAACGAATATCCAAACATTTCCCCAATAGATCTGGAGTCACGAGTCTAGAGCCTCTAGGTGTAACAGAGTAAT